ACCACCTGTGTGGTGGGATTACATGGGGCATGCCACCACACCCAATTGGTTTTATGTGGTGCTAGGGATGGAACCCAGGGTTTTGTGCATGTTATGCAAGCACCAAAGATAAGTAACAGCATGCACACCTCATTGTACACTAGGCAAACCAGAAGCCGATGAGCAACGTGTCTAAAACACTGACAGGGACAAAAACTACCAATGCATGAACTCTACACCCAGCGAAGGTATCTTTTAAAAGTTGAAGGATGAAGATAGCTCTTTAGACAAACAAAAGTGGAAAGAATTCATTACCAACATCCACAGACATAACTGTGTTAAAGGAAGATTTTCAAACAGAAATAATACAAAATGGAAATTAGGAGCTAAGTAAGTTTAGTGCATTAGAAATGAAATACTGGGTAAATGTAAATTTTCACTAATTTTTGTTTGTTATTGTTTCTGTGCACGATGAAGGTATGTGGCTTTGTGTGGCTCTCAACAGCTGGCAATAAAGGACTCTTAATTTGACCATCATTGTGGTGTTCCTCTGTGACTTTTCACTAATTTTTGTTTGTTATTGTTTCTGTGCATGATGAAGGTGTGTGGCTTTGTGTAGACCATGACACATATGTGGAGGTCAGAGAACTTCTTTGGGGACTTGGTTCTCTCCTTCTACCTTGATGTGGGTTCTGGGAATTGAACTTAGGTCACCAGGGCTGCCTAGAAAATACTTTAAACCACTGAGCCACCTTGCTGGTCCACTATTCTTTTTTAAAAATATATTTTATTTATATTTTTATTTTATGTATATGAGTGTATTGCCTGCATGTATGTGATTGCACCTTGTCATGCAGTGCCTTGGAGGTCAGAAGAGGGCATCGGATTCCCCCAGAACTGCAGTTAAGGATGGTTCATAGCTGCCATATGGGTGCTGGGAATCAAAGCCAAGTCATCTGCAAGAACAGTCAGTGCTCATAACTGCTGAGCCATCTCTCTATTCTTCCTACAAGTTTTAATTTATTTTTTATTTTATGTGTGTGTGTGTGTGTGTGTGTGTGTGTGTGTGTGGTGTGCCCTGCACACGTCATATTTGAATGGGTGCCCATGGAGGCCAGGAGAGGGCAGTAAATCCCCTACAGTTGGAATTACAGGCACTTGTGAGCAGCCCCATTTAGTGCTGGGTCTGAACTCAGGTCCTCTGGAAGAGCAGTAAGTGCTCTTAACCTCTGAGCCATCTCTCTAGCCCCCTATCATTAAAAAAGAAATTTACTATTTGCATTACAAATAAAATAAAGCTGGGCCTAGTGGCACACGTCTGTAATCCTAACACTTAGGAAGCTGAGGCAGTTCAAGGCCAGCATGGGCTATCTGTGAATTGAATGCTTGCTTGCACTACACAATGAAATCCTGTTTTGTTTTTGTTTGTTTGTCTGTTTGTTTGTTTTTTAAAAAAGCAATAGAGGGTCTGGAGAGATGGCTCACCAGTTAAGAGCACTGGCTGTTCTTGCAGAAAACCTGGGTTCTAATCCCAGCACCCACATGGTGACTAACGACTATCTTGAGCTCCAGTTCCAGGGGATCTGGTGCCCTCTTCTGTCCTCCGAGGGCACTACACAACACGTTGCACTTACACACACGCCAGGTATAACACACACAAAACACAAAAATAAATTAAAATAAAATAAAGCAATAGGTGGCCTGATGTTACCATCCTGTAATCTCAGTTACTCAGGAAGTCAAGGCAGGAGGACTACAAGTTTAAAGACTGCTTGTACTACAGAGCAAGTTTAAGGCCAAATTAGTGACCCTTGTCTCCAAGCTTCAAAAAAAAACAAAAGTCTAAGCCAGACATGCGGTGAATACCTATAATCCTAGCACTTAGGAGGCTGATGCAGGAGTACCATGAGTTTGAGGGTAGCTTGAGCTACAAAACGAGTTCCAGGCCTGAGATATAGCTCAGTAGTAGAGCGTTTGCCTGGTGTGCACAAGGCCCTAACTTCAATTTCCCATACTTAATAAAGAAAAAGAAAAAGTCAAAAGTTATTGTGATGCACTTTGGTGTTTAAAACAAACGTAAGGGGCCGGAGAGATGGCTCAGCCATTAAGAGCGCTGGCTGCTCTTCCAGTAGGTTCCCAGCACCCACATGGAAGCTAACAACTGTCCTTAACTCCAGTTCCAGGGGATCCAGCACCCTCTTCTGACCGACATGGGCACTGCACAGCATAGGCACACTTAGGCAGGCAATACATTCATACACGTAAAATTAAAATAATTTTATTATTTTAATAAATAATGGGCTTGGTGGCACATGCCTTCAGTTCCAGCACTTGGGAGGCAGAGACAGTTGGACCTCTGTGAGTTTGAGTCCAGCCTGGTCTACATAGGGAGTTCCAGGCCAGCTGGGACTATAGGGAGACCCTGTCTC